TGTATGTGATGAAAGAATCAATTAATCCATCAATCAATCAATTTTGAACCAGTCTCATCGTCTATTAAGCCCCAGCTCTCAGCTTAGGAATAATAAAATGTATAGTTGTCTGAGTGATGTGATTTCAGAGAGATCAATAACTCTCTCCACACCCTGAAATAGCTTCCTTCAAATCCCATTATGGTGCATGAAATTCTCACCATTAGTTTACTCATTTAATTCAACAAATATTGATTGTGACAAGAAGCATATGAGATAAACTCGAAATTGTAGTTGGAGCCTGTCTGGCATGCCCACCTGAGAAAGCAGTGGAGGAGCTGCTCTTCCAATGGAAGGAAGCACTGAGCCATAGATGGCCTGGCTCTTGGGAAACCGGTGGCCCTATCCTCTGGAACAAGTCTATAGGAGGAGCAGACGGCATGGATGGAAAGAGCTAAGGAGTTTATTTGAAGACAGGCTGTGTTGGATAGCCTATGGCACGTCTCACAGGAAGTGGGCATCAGGTGATGGATACAAGCATCCAGAGCTCAGAGGAGAAAGGTCCTTGGGAGACTGTGATTAGGGAGTATGGGAAGGTCCTGACCATGCAATGGAGATGACACCCCATAGGAAAGTGCAGCAGAAGGAAAATAGCCAAGGACCAAATACAGGGAAAATCTTTTCTTAGTGGACAGAAATTAAGGCACCTGGCATGTAGCTAAACTCTTAGATGTTGATTAATCATCATCTTGATTAATTAACACTTGTTGAATGAATAAAGGAAGGAAGGAAGGAAGGAAATGAATGAATGTGTGAATGAATGGACTCTGTGTTATGAGTACTGTCATTTCCATTTTCTTAGTTTGACAACTAGAGCTTAGAGAGCAAAATGAATTAACCAGGATTGTACACTTAGGGAGAGGCAGAGCCAAAATCCAGACTCTGTTTTGTCTGAGTTAGAGGTTCAAACTCTGCTATCCTTATTACGTCGTTGGAAGTGAGAGCTGTTAGCAGTCATATTGGTCCCTGATAGGTGTGTGAAGAGACATCTGGCCCCAAGCAGCTCGTGACACCTGGCCGAGCACATCTCACGCCAATCCTGTAGTCAGCAACTTCTTGTTGGTAGGCTGAAATTGGCCATGACTGATGTATTTACATCACAGAAATTGGCAAATGGTAAAAACTCTATAAACTAATTTTTTGGTTTGGTTTGGTTTGGTTTTTTAAACTTGTTTGTTTGCTTCCACAAAGCCAGTTTTAAACATTTACCTGGATACCACTAGGGGGAAGGCCAAGGTGTATTATTCCCATTTTACAGAGATAACAGACTCGGGTGGTTAAAACAGCCCTTTTCAATGCATGTGAGGACATGAAGTTCCAAGAAATTAAGGGATGGGCAAAATAACACGGCCCATGAGTGGTGGGCAGATCCAGAGCTAGAACCCGGGTCTTCTTACCCAGGGCCTCCCGCCACAGGGCTGGCTGAACTCAGAGTTCTCAGGAAGGCTGCAGCTCTGAACCCAAACCCATGGCCACATTTTGCCCTATGGGGTTGGCATCACTTAGACTCAATGTTTCTTGTCTCTGTCCTGACTCCCAACAGGTGCTAAAATTTGGAGTGGTCATTGCCCAGCTCCCAGTCTTTGGCATCAAGTTCTATCTCTCAGCAGCTGTGTGACTTAAGACAAAATGCTATCTGTGCCCAAATGTAGGACAACCCTGCCGCCTATAACTTATTTCCCAATGACAACATCCACAGAATGGTGAAGCTAACTCGCACATGTAAACTTCTGATGACATAAGCAGAGGCACAGATCTACTTATGCTATAAGATTGATACCTTCAATTACATATGCATATTTCAAATCATGTATAAAACAAACATCCATTAATCATCTCTCATATTTGGTGAAATAATATTATATAGACTCTTCCTAAGCACCCCCTACATCAGTGACTCTGTCTTCACAAGGCCCATTGATCACAGCATGCTCAAACACACCCTCTTCTCTCTAGCGAGGCTGTGTGAGACATGAGTCTTTCTGAAGACATGAATGGTGTTGGCATGGAGTTGTATTCCAGGCTTTTTTTCTCATTCATTTACCTCACAGATGTATATTCCAGATCACTACAATGGACCACTTATTTTTAGACATTTTGATTTAGCTGCTTTTCATATGTTAAAGAATATTCACAAACAATTTGAAAGTTATAAGGCATAACATACGATATCTTACATTAATTTTGACCCAACATTAAGACAGAGACACCAGTTATGGTTATTTAATATTTGCTAAGAATGTAGTTTTTGCCTTTTTCCCCCCAACTTTTCCATCTCCTTATATTTGAGGACCTTATGAATATCATGTCAATAGATTTCTTTAAAGCCGGGATGATAATCATTGTCATTTATCAGGAACACCTTGAGTTACATGTGCTGAGATCCTCAGGTTTATTTCTGTCATCATATTCTATACTATTTGCCCTCTTTTATTTTTTTATTTTTTCTAAGTTTGTGTATTTTCGAGAGAGAGAGAGAGAGAGAGTGAGTAGGGGAGGGGCAGAGAGAGAGGGAGACACAGAATCCGAAGTAGGCTGCAGGCTCTGAACTGTCAGTACAGAGCCACACATGGGGCTCAAACCCACAATCCGTGAGATCATGACCTGAGCCGAAGGTGGACGCTCACAACTGAGCCACTCAGGCGCCCCATATATGCCCTCTTTTATATATTGCTTTTGTCCTCCTTTCTTATATTAACTTGCATTTTTGGAACTGATATTTGTGTTTATTCCATATATTTTCCATCTACTGGTTTGGAAGTTATAGCCTCTGTTTCTATTCTTTAAGGGCCATTCCTAGAAATTCCAGCATGCCAAATTGACATCTTAGCATTTCAGAGTCTAAGTTCTTGGGACATTTTTTTCTCCCTTCACTCACTTCTCAACTTACATTCTATCATGTTTGTGTTTTTTAATTCTATCTTTTTAACTTCACAAAACATTATGTTTGCTGTTTTATAAAATCAAGTCCCCCTAGAACTCAAGAGATGACTAGGAGTTAGTCTATCAGAAAGGAGGGAATAATATGCCAGGAAAGTGGAGCTAATGTAGTGTTTCCCAAAATAGGGAAAATGTGTCACTATGGGAGATAATTTTAGATAATGTTGGGAGAATCTTTATTTTTTACTTCAATCGTTACGAATTTACTTTCATATGAATTAGGAAAAAATTATATACACACACATGCACACCTGTGTTCAGCACCCCAAACTCATATTTTCATGGGTTTTCACAGCTACCTATTGTGGCTAAGTTAAAATCCACTTTTTAAGTAATAGTTAATCTTAAAAATAAAGGTTAAATAATGATACAGGTGGTATGGAAAAATGGAAACTTTGTGAAAATGATATCTGAACACCCAAAGTTCTGGAAACACTTAACTAAGGCAGTGGGGATTGTGAAACAGCACAGGGCAGGGAAATGCTATACCAATTTTTTTTTTCTTTCTCTTTTTAAAAATATTTATTTATTTTTGAGAGAGAGACAGAGCGTGAGCAGGGGAGGAGCAGAAAGAGAGGGAGACACAGAATCCGAAGCAGGCTCCAGGCTTTGAGCTGTCAAGACAGAGCCGAATGCGAGGCTCAAATTACAGACCATGAGACCATGAACTGAGCCGAAGCAGGACGTTTAACTAACTGAGCCACTCAGGCACCCCAACATCAATTTAAATCAGCAGAGTTGTAAACTGGGTGTGGGCCGCTATGGGGAAGGGTCTGGATACTCTGGAAGGGACCACATTATGCAAGGCTTTGAAGCCTTACTGACTAGCTTGGGATTTCTCCCAAGGGCAGGGCATCAGGGAGAAGACAGGTGGTCAGGATTTTGGTTAGAGCACATGGGACCCTCAGTCCCACATTTCAAGTCTTGGAAAATGCCACCCAGCTAAAAGAGCCAGAGATGCAAGCCCAGATAAGCATACAAGGAGAGTTGGGGCAGTGTCATCTGTGAAGGTGGAAGGAGGCAAACAAGCTAAATGAGAACAAAAGAGAGAGTTCCGAGTGGCAGATTGATGCGCGGAGAATGCAGCCATCAATGTCATTTGAAAAATACACCATGACGTGGGAGAAATGCTCACACAGAAAGTTAAGTAAAAACTCTAGATATAAGTCTATATTCAGCATGAATATATATATATATATTCATTGGGGGAAAATGAAATATACACACACATAATAAATATAAAACAGTGTTTATATCTGATGATGTACTTACAATTTTTAAAATAACTCTCGGTACTTTCTAAAATGTCTACTACACATAGTATTTTATTTATTTATTTGTATTCAGAAGAAAGGTTATTTTTAAAAAGAAAAAGACATTTTCACCCAGATAGTGCTAAAAAAGCAAAGAAGGAAGCCATTGGCCCTCCCGAAACCGAAGCCAAAGTAAAGGCTGTGAAGGCCAAGAAGACAGTGCTGAAAGGCATCTATTCTACTCAAAATGAGACCAAAGCAAAAGACCTGCGAGTCACCCACATCCCAGCAGATGAGACACTGGCGTCTCTCAAGGGCACCTCCCAGCGGGACCAGCTACATCACCATTCTGCCCTCAAACTCCCCTGAGGACAGAGTCCGCCTTGAAGAAGATCAAAGAGAACTCCCTGCTCTGTGCACTGTGGACGTCCAGGCCAGTAAGGCCCAGCTCAAACAGCTGTGACAAAGCTCAGTGAACTTGACTGGCCAAGGTCAATCCCTTGATGCGGTTCGATGGAGAGAGAAGAGCAGAATGTTTGATGGGCCCCTGACTACGGTGCCTAGGACGTTACCGCCAACACTGGGGTCACCTAGCCCGGCTTTGTCACCTCCAAACAAAGAAAAGAAAGAGAAAGGAAGTCACTGAGGACCCTTTGTCGTGGCTCTGTAATCATCGCCCCAGAAAAAAAGAAAAAAGAACGGATCTTGTGACTAATTTTAAAATCAGAGGATGTGTTCAAATTCCCCTTTATACTCACTCACCTTTTGTCTCTTGCCGGCTGGGTGCTAATACCAGGAACTGGGCTTTTGTTCCCATAACCCTGGGCTTCTCTTCATCAATAATGGTTTGTCGGAACTATTTTCTGAATCAAACCTGGGGCCCTGGAAGAGGAGGAGGATTTCTGATCAACCCCCAGTGTGTGTCCTGCACAAGTGAACTTTCAAAGAGGACAGAGAGAGAAAATGAAAAGTCGGGGTAAGGAGGAGAAACTATTTTCTTTATACTCAAGCTAAGCATTTTGGTTATCTGATTGTGTTTAAGCAATGGAATAAAATGGAGTTAAGGCTTGTGTTTGTTAAATTTTTTTTTAAGTTTATTTATTTTGAGAGAGAGCAGGAGAAGGTCAGAGAGAGAGGAAGAGAGAGCATCCCAAGCAGACTCTGTGCTGTTAGCACGGAGCCCAAAGTGGGGCTCGAACTCATGAACCGTGAGATTATGACTTGAGCCAAAACCAAGAGTCAGATGCTTAACTGACTGAGCCAGTCATGGGCTCCTATGTTTTTATTTTTTAATGATCCATTTTTCCCTTCATTCATTTGTTCAATCATCAAATCTCAAGGTTGAAAGAGGCCTACAAGCTCGTCTGATCCAATCCTTTCATTTTGCAGAAGGGAAACTGAGGCTCAATTCTGAGTTGAGTCAGAATTTAGTAAGGAGGACACACAAAGACAGAAGTGAGGAGGAACAATGAGGATGTAGTGAAAAATATTGTATGATTTGAGATTATACAGAATTCCAGCATTTCTAAGCCATGTGAATGTCTTATTCCCACTGAGACTCAAATCTGCAAATGGAAATGGAAATAATCTGCCCCACAGAGTGCATATCTGGAAAATACCAAGCAAGTGCCAGGCATGTGGTCAGATCTCCATATACGTCACACACCATGCAAAGCAGGTGACACCCAAGTGTCATACGTCTCTGCACATTCAACGCGAGGTCGGGAGTTGCTATTATCCTTCTGTTACTGACCTAGAAGACAAAGCAACAAAGCTGGAAAGCTGCAGAATCAAAATTCACACACATTCTACAAAAGCAGGAGTTGGAGGCATTGAACACTCTATCACCCCCAGATTGTTACTTTATACTTTTAGAACCAGGAGTGAACACACTGTAAAAACTGCCAAGTGCCCAAAACGTAAGGAATTACTCTTCTTTCTAAATATCCAGTGTGGTTGGGGTTTTTCTCAGATTCCAAGTCTGAATCAGCAGTTTCTCCTCTAGGCTACTTTGCTAAGTGATAACTCAGGCTCTTTCCAGGTGGTTTCTAAAGGTCACTTGATTATAGTTCTGAGCGTGCAGATGATCTGATGGCCTTAGCATAGACACGCACGGGTCCAACGAGGTCCTCCGGTGCAGGAAGTGGAAAATACACCTTTTCAAGACAACCTCTCACTGGGAGTCAGGAAGCCCTTCATCCCATTCCTGGCTGCACAACATGTACCTTCCTGGCCACAGGCACAGTCACTGACCTTGCTGGAGCTCAATTTCTGCATCCATAAAATGGAAACTTATATTCAAATAAGGACAAAATAGTATTGCCCACAAGTGTCTTTGCCGATACTGACAAAATAGGATGTGAAATTCAAGACCCTCAAGTCCAGGGGTCATAAACTTAAATGCCAGTAGGGGCCGGGCAGATGGTATCACTGGGTGACATAAATCCTTGTCTCAAACAATAGGGAGCGGTAAGGACTGTGGTGCGGAAGGACCCTCACTGAAAGAATTGTTGAGCTCCAGCTTGGTGCAGAAACGTGGGCCCAAGGCGTCTAGATTTCTCCCATTATCAACAGAAGGCAGAAATTGTATTTTTTATAAAACCTATTTGGAGTTCTAAATGCTGGCAATTAACTCAAATCATTTGGGTACCAAATAGACAGTTCTGGGGCCTGGATTTGGCCACGGGGTGATGGTTCATGACCCTCGATTCTGACCTATCTCCCTCCCATCCCAGATGAGGAAACCGAGGTTCTATGAGGTTAATGGAGTGGCCTGTTACCACCAGGACCAGAATCCAAGTGTCCTGTTACCTAGTTCAGGCTCTTCCCTAGCACCTGGCTGCTTCACTTTGGTTTGCTGGAGTGGACCGGAAAGGGAGGATTATAAATTCAACACAGCCATCCGCAAACCTCAGATTCCCCCTCTTCCACCCTGACTGGGTTATTTGTCCAGAGCACAAGGCACAAAAAAGATGATTCACATCTTGTTCTGCTGTCCGGGAGGTCGGCAGTGAGGGGAAAGGGCATTGGACTCACGTTAGAGTCAGGGACATTTCATTCTGTTTCAGACTTTGACATGTGTGCATCTTCATAGAAGTCTCCATCGTTATTCCGGTAATGCCCACATTTCCCTGTCTAAATTCTCAAGTGCTACCTCCCTCTTACCTGCTGAGCAGAGCGCACTTCCCCATGGCCATGCTGCTGTGTCGCACAGGAAGATAAGCTGTTGCCAGGAGAGCCGGCTTCACAAGTCAGAACCATGGAAGATAAGAGGCACCAGGTTACACAGAAACAATTACGCCTGAGACCCTAATTGGATTATCAGCGGTCCAAAAGTCAGCTTTAAGCAATTATCTATCCCAAGTCTGTGAAAAAATCAAGCCATTTCTTCACTGTCCTTCTGCACAAAGGGGAGAAAGGTTCTTACAACCTGCAAGAGAGTTCCTACTAATGAGGCAGAAAGCAAATTCTTGGAGGAAGAAATTACATACATCCACACAACTCATTCGTGGGTTCTCCTCTATTATAAAAAGGATTTTTTTAAGAATTTTGTTAAATGGTTTATTTATTTTTGAGAGGGAGAGAGACAGAGTATGAGCAGGGGAGGGACAGAGAGAGAATGAGACAGAATCCATGAAGCAGGCTCAAGCTCTGAGCTGTCAGTACAGAGCCCGACACAGGGCTCGTACCTGTGAACCATGAGATCATGACCTGAGCCGGAGTTGGACACTCAACTGACTGAGCCACCCAGATGCCCCAAAAAGTTTAAAAAAACACAAAAGTAAGGAATTTAAATCTGTATTCATGGCCCAGTTCTACTTCCGTGTTGAGCTCTGCCAAAGATCAGATAACCTTTTCAAATTTCACAAGTGATATCTTATCACCTCCGAATCACCAGACCTTCAATTCGAGGCCACGTGAATTTCAGACTGTCCACGCGCCAGCCCCCATGTGGGGTCCAGAGGGGAGTAGTATCAGAGCCTTTGGGTGGAGAAGCCAACACTGAACCAGGACATCACAGAACGATGCAACCCACCTCCATGTAAGTCTGGACATCTACACCAAGCACTATGGAGGCAGAAGTGGGAATAACCAGCAGTACCTGGGAAAGTCAGGGAAGGCTGCATGAAGGAGGTGACACTAATGGGTGTTGAAGGATGAGTAGGAGTTTGCCACAGAGACAAGGCAGTGGATTGTCGCTATGAGCAGAGAACACAATACCTGGCCGCGGTGTGAAAATCCTGGTTCCCTCAGGAGTCCCTGTGTGATTGAAGAGGGCATCGGAGCACAGGACCTGTGGTTTTGTGCAAAGTGCTTTTTGTCTCACTATCTCATCTGATCCCTAAAATAGCCCCAGGCCCATGAAGCCAGTACTGGTGCTGATTACCTGTCACGTGCCAGGCACTTGGGTAAGTACTTTGCATTCATAATCTCACTTCCTCTTCATACTAGAAATTTGCAGGAAATACCTTTCCTATCCCCATTCTTCCATTGCAGACCGGAAGTCCGAGGCTGCAAGCCATTCCTAGCCAGCCCCAGGGTCACAGAGCAGAACCAGGACTCCGCCCCGGCAGCCTGACTCCAAGGACCACACTCTTGACTGCCCATGCGCCACCCACATGAGGCAGTGCCGAGCACAGCTCATTCATGGGATCTTGGTAAGATGGGGATCGAATCCCCAGGAGACCAAGGGGGAACAAGGAAGTCCAAAGTTATGACCCAAAGAGTCCCAGTTGCATACTCATGCTAAATGTACTTGCACTGCTCTCCCAGAAAGGGCTAGAAGAAGTGGAAGCCAGGGCCAGTGGAGGCTGGAGCTGAGGACACAGGCTCTAAGAGTTAATACTTGCCCCGAAAGGTACAGAGACAGAATACCAGGCTGTGTCTGAAATGGGGGCTGGAGATGGGGCTCTCCAACATTGTGGCTCCCTCCACTCCACCATGTGGTCCCGGGTGAGCAGTGTACAGCCAGCCCCACACAGCCTCAAGCCTCCTTGGAGAGCGAGAGTTTAGGCTAATCCCACCGGTCGGCCCCTGTGACATTCCCAACCAGTGCTTTCTCCCCTTCCCGCTACCCGGGCCTGGGGATTGCTGGTCAACCAACACAGCACAGGTGGGAATTCCCCTCCTGACCTTACGACAGCTTCCCTCCAACACGGGCTCACACAAGGGTCTCCGCGGGACATTTTAATGCAATTATTTATCCCTACCTTTGCCTCTTCCTCCCCGTTTACAAACACTGACAGCACCCCACCCCTAAATCTCTTCCAGTGGAAAGTGGGCCAACTCTGAAGCGGGGAGGGAATTTGAATCCCAATGCCACATTTTATTAACATCTGGGGAATAGAGGTCCCTCGGCTATCAAATGGGATTTATCCATTCAACACATATTTATTGAGCACCTATAATGTGCCAAGGACATAGAATTCACGGTCGGCAAAATGAAGCTGGTCCTCACCTCATAGAATCTACAATCTAGTGGGAAATAAGAGCAATGAAATCAACCACTGCAATCAATTTGATAAGCATTCAATCAGAGGAAGAATGATTCTTAGAGTCAGGGCGGTGATATTTCTAATTCTTTTTTTTTTCTTATTTCTATTTATTTATTCTGAGAGAGAGAGTGTGTGTGTGAGAGAGGGAGCAGGGGAAGAATAGAGAGAGAGGAAGAGAGAGAGAATCCCATGCAGGCTCCTCACGGTCAGTGCAGAGCATAGACTGGGGCTCAAACCCATGAACTGGGAGATCATGACCTGAGCTGAAGTCGAACACTTAACCGACTGAGCCAACCAGGCGCCCCTATTTCTAATTCTTACCCAGGATGTTAAAAGCAGATCTTCTATATCCAATGCCTGAGAACATTTTGGAACCAGCACGGTCAGGATCAGGAGGAGGAGAGGTTTTATATTCAGACAAGGCCAGATTCCACCATTTATCAGACACAATTTTCCTCATCCGTGAAATGGGTATAAGAGGAACTTCCTCTTTTTGTTGGAATGTGTACTTTTTTTGTGAATCAAATGAGATCATGTCTGTCCCAAATCTGGCACATAGTAGGTGCACCTGTCCTGAGTCCACGCAGAAAGTCCTCAGTACAAGGTCTGAGCCTGGAGAGGTATTGGGACTCACATAGCCACTGGGTCACCCTTCCCTCTTAATCAGTCCCTTGCAATAACATGCAGGACACAGGATGAAGCACAAGAGCCACAACGAAAATACAGAAAAACATCTGGTTCCAGCCACAACCAGGGGACCAACTTCCTATGTGGCCCTCGGGCTCTCTGGTCAATTTTACCTTCACCTTCCAACAGGGTAGTCACATTGACTCTGATGGTCCCGTGGTGATAAATGCTGTCAAGATCAGAATCTGATGAAACAAGTCAGTGGAAAGCCACCCAGAGGGAAGTGATTAACGTTCTTCCAACAGTCGTCACTATTATTGTTCAGAGTGGGGCCACATTTCTAAATGGGGCTTATGATAAATCATGGTGACGACGGGCTGGTGGAAAAGTCACTCGTGCTTCCCTTACAGTGGGCAGAACAGAAAGACCAGGGTTACAATCCCTTCTCGGTCATTTTCCGCTGTGTGGCCTTGGTGACGTTCATGAACCTCTCCGAGCCTCCATTTCCTCATGTGCAGAATGGGGAAGAGCAATACATTCTCCAGAGCTCAGCATTCTGAGCAGTGGAAGGCACGGCCCGTGTCAAGGGTCTGAACATCGGAGGAGCTCCATAAAGCTGTGAGCCCAGTGAGCGACATTGGCTTCCCTGCCTGCCTGTCGGGAAGGCTGACTCCCCCGCTTCTCGGTGACCTCACAGAGCCGTGCGTTTCCCAGGAATCGTGCCCACCTCTGCGATTCCTCCAGCCTCTGCCTGCTGGCCCTCAGTGTCCCTCCTGGGCCGCGGGCTGCCTTCTCCAGCTCAGAAGAGGAGTAGGTCGTGCCCTCAGACCAGGCCTGCCCAAGCCAGTTCTACCCGCTCTGGTTTGTTCTCTCCTGCCAGCAGAAGGCAGGCACTGTCTCAGAGGCCCCTCCCCCTGCCCACCCAGCCTCATCTCCCCTGCAGCTCATCCAACTCTAACAGAACCTTCTTCTCCAAGCTCAGCCGGATTCCTTTGCGCTTGTACCTCCAGGCTCTTCCTTTCTGTCTCCATCCTTCACCCTGGCCAAGAGGCTCAATTCCTCTGGCCCCAGGAAGCCGCACCCTACTTTGACCCAACACACACAGCCAGCAGAGCCCTGCGGGGAGAGTCCCAGTGGGCTCCTGTGCTTAATCCAGGACCCTATTCCATGGCCAGGATTCTTGCACTTGTAACTTAGCAGTGCTGGCTGTTGGGGGCCCGGAGTGGCTCAGTCCATTAAGGGGCTGACTGACTCTTGATTTTGGCTCAGGTCATGATCTCATAGTTGGTGAGTTCGAGCCTGGCCTCGGGCCCTGGGCTGACAGCTCAGAGCCTGGAGCCTGCTTTGGATTCTGTGTCTCCCTCTCTCTCTGCCCCTCCCCTGCTCATGGTCTGTCTCTCTCTGTCTCTCAAAATAAAAAAACACTAAAAAAAATTTTTTTAGGGACGCCTGGGTGGCTCAGTCAGTTAAGCATCCAACTTCGGCTCAGGTCATGATCTCTCAGTTCATGAGTTCAAGCCCCATGTCAGGCTCTGTGCTGACAGCTCAGAGCCTAGAGCCTGCTTCAGGTTCTGTGTCTCCCTTTCTCTCTGCCCCTGTCCTGATCATACTCTGTCTCTGTCTCTCTGTCTCTTTCTCTGTCTCTCTCAAAAACAATAAATAAACATTTTAAAAAAGGTTTTTTTTAATGCTGACTCTTGGGGCAACTGGGTGGCTCTGTCCATTAAGCTCAGGTCATGATCTCACAATTGGTGAGTTTGAGCCCAGTGTCGGGCTCTGTACTGACAGCTCAGAACCTGCTCGGGATTCTCTCTCCCTCTCTCTCTGCCCCTCCCTGCATGCACTCGTGCTCACACACTCTCTCTCTCAAAATAAATAAATAAACATTTGTTTTAAATGCTATTAAACTCCTACTTACTTAAAACATAGCATTTTAACTCAGGATTCACCTAATTTCCCTTCTGGAGGCCACCAGTGATGGCCACGTGACCCCCGAAACAAGGAGCCATCCTGGCCGTGCATGGGGCTGGTGGGGCGACGGGGAGGCAGGGTCTTCCATCCAGGCTCACAGGCAGCTCTGAGAGCAAGAGCACATTCAGAGTCAAGCAGGAAGGAGGGCAGCACTCTGTGAGCCAGAGGAGGGTGTGGACAGCTTGCCCAGTGGAGGGGAGGGCCAGGAGAAGATTCCAGAGACAGAACAGAGACCAGGGACTCCAGGGCCCAGGAGCCAAATGCAGGGAGTCAGAGGCCAGACGGGTCAGTGTCGGGCTCCAATGGGCTGCCCGTGTGCCTGTGCCGCTGGACTGTCTGAGAAAGGAGGCTGGATTCACGAGGCCGGAGATGAGCGCGGACAACCTCCTCGCTGTCACAGCCAGAGTCCAGGGACTCTCCGTCCTCAGGTGCCACACTGCACTTCCTCCCCAGACCGCCCCCCCCCACTTCCCATCCCTCTAGCTATCTGCTTCTTCTTTGGATTCTGTCTGCAGCTTCTCCCCTCTCCTCCCTCAACATTTCCATGTCCAATAAGGCTAAGAAGCGGACAAATTAGAACACAGGTCTTCCAACCCCCAACGGCTCTGTTCCACGTGTGTCCCAGTGTAGACAACAAGACGCTAAGAAATCAAGAGCATTCATTTTTTTAAGTCATCGGATGCTGCCTGTGGGTCTAGACCTATGTCAGATGGAGTGGCCCTCACGAAGGTAGATTAGATTACAAGGTAGCCAGAGGATAGACATTCTCCTACCCAGAGACTGGGCTCCCCATCCCTGTGGTCAAGAGTCATGTTTAGACCAGAAGGAAGGTCCTTCTCCAAGGTCCTGATGAGTGTTGGGTATCCAGCCATTGTTCCCACAAGCATCCGAGCCAGAATCTGGACTTTTCTGCAGCTGCTGCCTGCTGTGTGGGTAAGAGCTATCAGCTTCGCCATCAATCCTCAAACTTGTATGGTCTCTGAATTATTTAATGCTACATCCAAGAGGCTGTGAATAATGGAAGGGGGTGTAAATAATCCTATCTCTGTCACTACTTGCAGAGATTGTAAAGGGGGCGCCCAAAGAGGCTCTATTCCGCTGGAATCTTACACCTGTGCATGATTAAAAACCAAACCAAATGCCCCCTAGATAACTGCTATTCCCTTGGGGTAGGGGGTGGGGGGTGGGGAAAGAAGTGAGCAAGTGTCTCAT